AAAATAGTACTACGCCACGTTAAATAGTGGCTTGCAATTAACATTAAAAAAATGCATGGTGGAATATTAAGGCATGTGACCAATGGACCGCATCTAAAACAATGTTACGTTTACAAAAGACAGGACACGGCAGCTCCACTTTATTAACAGCATGATGTATTTTTATGACATGCTCATGAGTACCTGGCGCATTGGCAGCATTATGTATTACATGACATCACGCATACCTAGTTCATTGACAGCACTATGTGTTACATGACATCACGCATACCTAGTTCATTGACAGCACTATGTATTACATGACATCACGCATGCCTAGTTCATTGGCAGCATTATGTATTACATGACATCACGCATACCTAGTTCATTGACAGCATTATGTGTTACATGACATCACGCATACCTAGTTCATTGGCAGCACTATGTATTACATGACATCACGCATACCTAGTTCATTGACAGCACTATGTGTTACATGACATCACGCATACCTAGTTCATTGACAGCACTATGACATCACTCATGAGTACCTATTTTATTGACAACACCATGTATAACATGACATTACTCATAAGGGCCTAGTTTATTGACAGCACCATAGATTACATGGTTACTGCTCATACCTCTTTCATGGACAACACTATGTATTACATGGCAATACTATGTATTACATGACAACACTATGTATTACATGACAACAATTATTATGAGTAGGTAGTGAACAAAAATTAACTCTCTTGAAATCTGATTAGGAAGAAGAATTCCACATTTAAGCCATACTCATGAAAACTGAGTTGTCATTTGAATAGACAATGTAAATGTATGACAGTAGGTGTACTTTGTCAGCCTGTCAAAGGGTCATAGATAGACAATAGTGGATAATCTACAGGTGGTTACGTGAAGTGCTCTTTGCTTCACAGAAACAAAGATAACTACACATTTGCACATAACAGATCAGTTGAGTTGATTTCACAGTGACCATACATCACATGATCGTTCAATTGATTTCAACGGAAACATCACCTCAGGTGTCAGTTATTGATTTCAACGGAAACATCATCACCTCAGGTGTCAGTTATTGATTTAAACGGAAACATCATCCCCTCAGGTGTCAGTTATTGATTTCACACAAAACATGTTTGATACTTGACGTCCTCAATGTGTATATCTTCCATAAATTATAGTCAGCATCTTCTGGAGACATGTGTCTTAAAATGATAACTACTCCTACCAGTGTGACGTGGACTACTGACCGAAAGTTGGGAGGGGGGGAGTGGGTGAAATAAGACCAATACTGTAGATCAGGGGTCGGGAACCTTTTTGTCTGAGAGAGCCATGGACACCACATATTTTGAAAAGTAAATATCTGAGAGCCATACATTATGTTTAAAACTAAAAATTCAAGTAAAATGTGTGCATTTTGTGTAATTTCAACACTAAAGATGCAACAATTAGGTCTCTGAATTCTTTTTAATAACATTGTTATGCTTTTGCTATCAATAATGAGTATTTCTTACCATTAATGCGACTTTTTTAAATAATCGAACATTTATCTCCGAGCCAGATGCAGCCATCAATAGAGCCACATCTGGCTCGCGAGCCATAGGTTCTCGACCCCTGCTGTAGATGCTTTGTAGTTTTAATATTAAAAAGACCGTCATAATTGCTACATTGAAAGATAAATTTAGAAGCCAGACTTGATTTCTCTAAGCGAAATTTTCATACCCCCCTTTTTTTTTTTTTTTTACAGTTGGAAATTTTTTCAGATGGAGTCTCTTAACATCAGATTGCAGATCATTGTCTTCCAAAAACTCATTTATTAGGGGAACACTTGATTTCTCTAAGCGAAATTTTCATCCCCCCCTTTTTTTTTTTTTTTTACAGTTGGAAATATTTTCAGATGGAGACTCTTAACATCAGATTGCAGATCATTGTCTTCCAAAGACTCATTTATTAGGGGAACCAAAGACTCTCATAGCGATAAGAAGCACATATAAAGTATACCGCACTGATGTTGCACTTTGACCTTGCCATAATAAGACCATTCTACTACTGTGCCGCGTGTATGTCATGGCTGTGACGTGGGTATGTCATGACTGTGACGTGCTTATGTCTTTGCTGTGACGTGAGTATGTCATGGCTGTGCCGATAGTATGTCATGGCTGTGACGTTGGTATGTCACGGCTGTGACGTTGGTATGTCATGGCTGTGCCGTTAGTATGTCATGGCTGTGCAACGTGTATGTTATGGCTGTGACGTGATTATGTCTTTGCTGTGACGTGAGTATGTCATGACTGTGCCGTTATTATGTCATGGCTGTGACGTTGGTATGTCATGGCTGTGCGGATAGTATGTAATGGCTGTGCCGTTTGTATGTCATGGCTGTGCCGTTAGTATGTCATGACTGTGCCGTTAGTATGTCATGGCTGTGCCGTTAGTATGTCATGGCTGTGCCGTTAGTATGTCATGGCTGTATAGTATGTAATGGCTGTGCCGTTTGTATGTCATGGCTGTGCCGTTAGTATGTCATGACTGTGCCGTTAGTATGTCATGGCTGTGCCGTTAGTATGTCATGGCTGTGCCGTTAGTATGTCATGGCTGTACCGTTAGTATGTCATGGCTGTGACGTTGGTATGTCATGGCTGTGCCGTTAGTATGTCATGGCTGTGCCGTTAGTATGTCATGGCTGTGCCGTTAGTATGTCATGGCTGTGACGTCGGTATGTCATGGCTGTGACGTGAGTATGTAAAGGCTGTGACATTAGTATGTCATGGCTGTGCCGTTATTATGTCATGGCTGTGCCGTTAGTATGTCATGGCTGTGACGTTGGTATGTCATGGCTGTGCCGTTAGTATATCATGGCTGTGACGTTGGTATCTCATGGCTGTGCCGTTATTATGTCATGGCTGTGCCGTTAGTATGTCATGGATGTGCCGTTAGTATGTCATGGCTTGCCGTTAGTATATCATGGCTGTGACGTTGGTAGTCATGGCTGTGACGTTAGTATGTCATGGCTGTGACGTTGGTATGTCATGGCTGTGCCGTTATTATGTCAGGGCTGTGTCGTTAGTATGTCATGGCTGTGCCGATATTATGTCATAGCTGTGACGTTAGTATGTCATGGCTTGCCGTTAGTATATCATGGCTGTGACGTTGGTAGTAATGGCTGTGACGTTAGTATGTCATGGCTGTGACGTTGGTATGTCATGGCTGTGCCGTTATTATGTCAGGGCTGTATCGTTAGTATGTCATGGCTGTGCCGATATTATTTCATAGCTGTGACGTTAGTATGTCATTGCTGTGACGTTAGTATGTAATGGCTGTGTCGTTAGTATTTCAGGGCTGTGACGTGAGAATGTCATGGCTGTGCCGTTAGTATGTCTTGGCTGTGACGTTGGTATGTCATGGCTGTGCCGTGCGTATGTCATGGCTGTGCCGTTAGTATGTCATGGCTGTGACGTTGGTATGTCATGGCTGTGATGTTAGTATATCATGGCTGTGCCGTTAGTATGTCATGGCTGTGACGTGAGTATGTAATGGCTGTGACGTTAGTATGTCAGGGCTGTGACGTTAGTATGTCATGGCTGTGACGTGAGTATGTAATGGCTGTGACGTTAGTATGTCAGGGCTTTGCCGTTAGTATGTCATGGCTTTGACGTGAGTATGTAATGGCTGTGACGTTAGTATGTCAGGGCTTTGCCGTTAGTATGTCATGGCTTTGACGTGAGTATGTCATGGCTGTGACGTTAGTATGTCATGGCTGTGCCGTTAGTATGTCATGGCTGTGACGTTGGTATTTAATGGCTATATTTGGGTACATCATGGCTGTACGTGATTCTTCTTTCACTTGATACTTGGTTGTTTATTGCTTATATACCAAACTCTGAACTAATTGATTTAAGTTTTCACACTGATTTAATTATTTTGATTGCAATATATTGTAACATTTTAAAACTATATAGAAGTGTATATCAATTAATACATTATTTTTAGTATCATTCAAAAACCTTGTGTTTTTTTTCTTCTTTTAAGTGACAAAAAACTAGATTTGGCAATGAAGTTAATTTGCTGCTTAATTTAGCTCAATAACATATATACTTGGAATGTGTTTTGAAAGAATTGATGTCAACATGCAGCAAGACAGTATCTCATTTTCTGACAGAAACCTACGGTTTGTTAACGTCTTGCAGGTCTGGGCCGATTCTTCATCGATTAATATGTTTTTTTGAACTTATAATTTCACTTAATGCTGAAAGCAACGGAAAGAATGACTATTACCGTCAATCAATATCTTGTGTAACAGAGATCTGGACTATACATATTTATTATCTTTGCCTCAATAAAGTTTAATTGCATCTTTTAAAAAAAAAATAAAAACGCCATTTGAAGAAAATATCAACAAGCCTTATTGCAAAAAAAGTCATGTGATGAGCATGGCTAAATGATACATGTCAACAAAAATACGTACTCATGATTATTGAAAGGTAATAATCAAATTTTTGCATACATAGACACCCCGTCAATGTCGATACAGATTAAAAGGATAACAGTAAAAATAATACTTGGCATTAACTACATATAGAAAAATATATACATTTTCTAAAGATCAATTCGTCCAGTAAACAATACAGTAACATTATTTGTTATCAAAACGCAATAGTATCTATATGTATACCACGATAACTCCTCGGCTGGTTTGAGCACAAGGTCTGCATTCTCTTAATCCCAAGAACTACATTTTATACATAGGTCGGTCTATTCCCGTTGCCATGAGACTTAAAAGTAATAAGTTCTATCTCAGAATCGAGCGAGTCTGCGAGTTTAAGCATGGCCTTATCTGACATCTCCTTCAGGCTTGGCGCCTTGTTGACGAAACATGGAGCGTGATTGGTCACACTGACAAGTTTCTTGGCTTCCCCATTTTCTCTTCTGGCTGACGTCTCGAAATTTCGCATCGCGCGTTTACTAGCGGGAAGGCTGGTGACCTGCGTCTGTTGCTGGTTGTAATAAGCCGTGTTGTACTTGCCCCGGTCGTTGCCGCTGAGCCTGCAGGTGTAGAAGGACTGTTTGAATGCTGCCCTAAAGTTTGAACTGAGGAGTCCGTATATAACAGGGTTGGTGGCGCTGTTCAGGTACATGAGTATGCGGCTAGTATTGACGAGGTTGAGGTACCCTTCTTGCCCCATGTTTATGAAATCACTTTCAGTCGCGAACAGTGTCCAGACCTGCATGCATCGCAGAGGAAGCAAGCAAATGAAATACGTAAACATGACGGCCACCATCATCTTGACGACCTGGCGCCTGCCGGCGATGACTTTAGAGTTGGCGCTCTGGTTTTTGTCAGAACGACTTGCGGAGCTGAGGGTCCGGGACGCGCCCTGGGCTTCAGACGATGGGATCGTGCTGGTGGCAATGGTCAGCGAGATGGCTGTGTACATGATGGTAAGCAGCACCAACGGTAAGGCGAACAGCACAGTGAAAATGAATATAATGTAGGCAGTGTGCATTTCGCTACTGATTCCTTTCACTGTGCAAAAATCTGCAAGAGTTCCGTCCATGTATGTTCTCACCTGCATGAGTAAAGAAACACAGCGTCACTACGGATGTATCGCTCTGGGAATACGTACTGGGTTCATTGAAGGACCGTCTTTTAACCAAGATGATGTTTGAATAAATTTCAAAAATATGTCAAGTACCATTCTGTTATGAAGGCTCACTTAAGGCTTGTGCACGTTAGGCTTAATTTTTTTCATAAATTATTATCTCATAGATTCGCCGAAAAATTCATAGATTCAATAAAGATTTCAAACAAGAACCTAAGATTTCATAGTTTCACTAAGGTGTCCATAGACTCACTAAAGATTTCATACAATAACTTTAGATTTCATAGACTCACTCAAGATTTCATACAATAACTTTAGATTTCATAAATTCATTAAAGATTTCATAGATTCGTCAAAGATAATTTTACATGCGTTATAAATCTTAGTGTTTCCAGATAACATAAGTCTTATAAATTCGACTATAGTCTCAAAATATAAATAGGCACATAGATAATTTAAATAAATCAATGTGAATGCGTGAGTGTGTATCTTCACTACTATTAACTGTTTTTTACAGTTTGAATACTGTATCAATGTATTTGTATTAAAGTTACCTCTGTACCATAAAAGATTGCGAAAGGCAGCGTTGCAACGCAGGACAGAATCCACACCATGGGGATGAGGATACTCTCAGAACTCAGTCTCGCCACACACGTTTCTCCCATAGGATAGCAGATGGCGTGGTATCTCTCGAACCCAATGGCCAGTAGCGTTAGCACGGAGCAATGGTGGGCTGCATTTTCAGAAAACACCACTACTTTACCTGGGTTCAAAAAAAAAAAAAAATCACATTTTCTTATTATTTAGCCTCAAACCCATTTTTAACCATTTAATATAGAAACTAAATAGCACTATTTACTGTTATTGAATTGTGCTGCTACATATGTTAGTCGGAAATGCAGACGGAAAGTAAAAAAAATAAAATAACCAGTACATCAGTCTCTAGACACCAACTGTCTATCATATGCGCTACACTACACAGGTAAACACCTCAGATTTGGGGGGTGTCAATATTGAAATGTTAATTGTATTCCCAGCTACCTGCCAGGTCTCTTTACTAACATGCAGTTGATACACAACTAAAACTGATACGTTTGTATGTCTCACTGCGAAGCCGGTTAAAAAAAAAAAACAGCACAATTCTCCAGCTTGGAATCATGAGTTAAAAAAACAAAATCTATTCATGAAACTACAAAACATTTTGACGTACCAATCATCCCCTGTCATTAAACGATAGTTTCAGCTTTTCATCGTTAGCAATATTATCTTTGTGAATTAGAAAAATCATACAAAACTAAGATAAGGGATAACGCAAATAGAAATTTGCAAGGGTAAGAGGCGGGCGTAAAATAAGCATGTCATCTCATTACACCATACATCTCATCATCATGTCAATACGTAAATGCGTGTTTGACAGCCAAAAGATAAAAGCTGGAAGTAGAAGAGAATAGCCGCAAATAGCTTTAAATAGCTGAATTAAAAATGAAAAAAACAGAGGAACAAACATAAGCGGAGTAAAAAATACCTTTGAATTTTCATTTTTTCATAAATTTCATTGTTTTAGCAGTATGTACAAATAAAATTGTATTAAAAAATTGAAGTGGATTCGCTTATGGGGCACTCATCGATGGAGTCGGGGCTGGAGATGACAACGCCAAATGAAAGTTAAGGGAGTTGCAAATAAAAGATAACGTCTAAATGACGCATTGAAAATGTCTGCGTCCTTCTTCAACTTCATTGTATGAGTTGTTACAACAATATTATTAACAACAGTGTTACAGCTATATTGAAACGGTTTGGAATCTTCAGCCATATGTTAAAGTTAAGGGGGAAAAAACAACACACACGGGGTAGGTCGTTCCTGTGTTAGCTGATGTTATTGCATTGATGCCACCGTACGGTCCAGTTGGAGCTCTTTAATCAAATAAGCGATCTCTTCAGTGGGGGAAAATAGTTAGCAGTAACCCGATCATCACTGTCGTTGTTAGACCTAGAACAAGCAGTGGACCTAGACAGCAGGGGAAGGTGGGGGGAGTGACGGCAGCGGAGTGGGCAGGAAAGAGTAAACACAACCTAAGAAACGGGGCGGGGGGGGGGGTGGTTGATTTGGGAATGTTCGACAATCTGATTCGAATTCTGGCCAGGATGTAGCTATTAATAGAATCGTTTCACTTATTGCATCCACACCCTGACTTCAGCAAAATAAGTCTATTCTGTAGGTCATAAAACAAAATTCTGAGATATCACGGCCGAATTCTCGATAAATACGTTGTAACTCAGATTTATACATGTATCCATTGGAATGAATTGAGATCAACCGTTTCCATAAACCATGGTTGTGTTAAATAAGTCTTTCGACGTATCCTGGCCAACGACGTCATTATTCATCTTTTCATAGCTTTGATCAACATGGCGTTGCTTAGTAACCATTTATAATGAATAGACACGTTCAATATCGCAAGAGAGCCAAAAAACTCTCCAGGAAAGCAATCGAACTGTCCAAGAGAGCCATAAAACTGTCCAAGAGAGCCATAAAACTGTCCAAGAGAGCAAAAAAAATTTCCAAGAAAGCAATGGAACTGTCCAAGAGAGCCATAAAACTGTCCAAGAGAGCCAAAAAAACTGTCCAAGAGAGCCAAAAAAAAACCTGTCCTATCAAAGCATTTAACTTCAGGCATAGCTTCTGACCAAGTTTGCCAACCGTATATTTAAGGACAGTCCATAAAAGTCAGACGTTAAATGACATGTCCGAAAAAGTCCATTAGAACATGAGATTTTACATTTAAAAAAAAAAAATGTAACAAAATAGTATAAATTGAGTAAATGGCTTTTGAAGCCAAACGAACTGAAACAATCAAGATTTTTGTAATTTCTTCTTGCTGGATTTTACAGGAGAAATTTAAACACAAAATAAAACACTGATGAAACGCTATACGATAAACCAATGTTATGAAAAGGTTTGTGCCCCATGGTCACGTGACTTAATGTTTATTATCTTTTCAGCTAAATACGAAAACTCAGAAAATTATTCTACTTCGTGCGACATTAAAAGACATCAATAAGTTGTTTCTTGTAAATGGATGATGAAATGGTACATGAGTGGCCGACTTTTCTGAAGGAATTATTGCCCCAGAAATTACCCAAAGATTAGCCAAGGATTACCCAAAGGTTAGCCAAAGATTAGTCAAAGATTACACAAAGATTACACAAAGACTAGCCAAAGATTAGCCAATGATTACCCAATGATTACCCAAAGACTACCCAAAGATTAGCCAATGATTACCCAAAGGTTAGCCAAAGATTAGTCAAAAATTACCCCAAAATTACCCAAAGATTACCCAAAGATTACCCCAAAACTACCCAAAGATTAGCCAAAGATTAAACAAAGATTACCAAATTATGTTACCCATACGAAGATTCTGGTTGATTCACAAAATTTCATAGCAAACATCTCTGATTCCTTTTCTTCTCCCACAACTTGCTCTTCGGTATGAGTTGCCATGACAATTACCATGACCTGAATGTTTCCACTCCCCTCTCTCCACATGACACGCGTACCATCTCTTTAGGCTACATGTTAGTGGACCGGTCGGAAAATACAGCGGACAACATCTTTATTCTGTGGATCAGGGGTCGGTAACCTACGGCACGCGTGCCATATTTGGCACGCATAGCGATTTTCATTGGCACATTATTCAACACATTTTTTTTTAACATTTATAATAAAATCGACAATATTTACTGCATCTGTAAACATAACTCTCGTACACATTCGTTGTTCAATTCGAAAATTGTGGACAGTGTATTTCAAAAACTATTTATACATTTTTTTTTCTTTTTTTTTTTTTTAAACAGTTTTTTTTTAAAAAAAAAAAATTAAAAAAAAAAATAATTCTCCATTTAATTAAAATATTAGATCGTCACTTGTTTTTAGTACAAAAGTCTATGAAATTAAAAAAAAAAAAAGAACTAAACTTTTGTGTTCTTCTCTTTACTGCCTGATCCATGTATGGCCACGTAATTACGATCTCATATACGATCTTACCATCCACATTTAGCCGTTTCACCTATCCCCACCAACATCCCCCCTCCATTTAGCCGTTTCACCGATCTCCATCAAAATCCCTCCATTTAGCCATTGAACCTATCCCCACCAACATCTCCCCTCATGTAACCCTTTTATCTATCTCCCCAACATACCTCCTATTCTCCCTAATTGGACTCATTTATAAACTCAAAATACGATGTCCAAGGGAAAATGGTGTGTGTGTGGGGGGGGGGTGCTATGGATTACACATTGGTCTATGATCGATCATTTTTGAGTATCTCATCGAACGGAAAAGAAAGTTGACGGTAGTATACCAACATAACAACTAGGGCTACGCCTCTGCCCACCCACATGACAACTTGGACTACGCCTCTAGCCACCCACATGACAACTAAAGCTACGCCTCTGCCCACCCACATGACAACTAGGGCTACGCCTCTACCCACCCACATGACAACTAAAGCTACGCCTCTGCTCACCCACATGACAACTAAAGCTACGCCTCTGCCCACCCACATGACAACTAAAGCTACGTCTCTGCCCACCCACATGACAACTAGGGCTACACCTCTGCCCACCCACATGACAACTAAAGCTACGCCTCTGCCCACCCACATGACAACTAGGGCTACGCCTCTGCCCACCCACATGACAACTAGAGCTGCGCATCTAGCCATTCACTTGCCATCAATAGCCTTCGTTTGCTGTG